CTTATATCCTTACAGTTTGCAACCTCAAGTATGGCAAACACTTCCGCTTGAAAGACAGTGGTATATCCTCCGAGCGGGTAGCTCCTTTGGATATCCCTGTCTTCCACGTAGAAACCTGCCCCTGAAGACAGTGTACTCGCCATACGAGAGCCATCAGTGTAGCACACTAGTGCATTTTGTGCAAAGTGTACATCCTTTTTCTCCTACTGCTCTCTTGTTGGTATAGTGAGGGAAAACTTCTTTTTTAAACTTAAGCGGTCTTTTGCTGGCATCGTTCTAATACTGCTAATTGGGACCTCCCTCTCAGCCATATCCGCGATGCCCTCATGACCATAAGTTATTCCTTTTCCTAACCAATTATTGGCATCCCTCATCCTTAAATGGCTCGCCATTGCTTCTCTCTTTATCCAGAGGGAAAGACTAGGCAAGCTCAGCAAGGCCTCTAATGCCGTCGTTGGAGTAGTCGTCATTGCGCCTGTGATACCGAGATATGCCAGTCTCTGTCGCTCAGTTTTTGAGCGATGATGGTTTTGCTCACACTGCGCCACCAGACCACTGATCCATAATGTATCCGCGGTCTGATGACAGCAGTATAAATCCAGTGAAGGACTTTGGGATTTACTCCCCAGCGTTTTCCCACCACCCGGCGCAGCTGCCAGAAAGTTGCAATCGATTTGTCAACAACTTTGTCGACGTGTGATTTCCAACTTAACTTCCTATCTAGGGTAACACCTAGGTACTTGACCTCTTCAGTAATCTCAAGAGGTTTTCCATACATAGCTGGTGCCCTGAAGTCCTGTATCTTCCTTCGTTTGGTAAAAAGAATCATGTCAGTTTTTGTTGGGTTAACCGACAGACCGTTTTCTTTGCACCAATTTTCTATTATTCTGCATGCTGTCTGCATTCTGTCGCAGACTACACCTAGAATGCCTCCTCTGATTAGGACTGTACCATCATCTGCATATGCTTGTGCATACAGCCCTTCAGCCGTCAGTCTCTTCAGAAGTCCATCCATTATTAAACACCATAGGTGGGATGATAGGCAGCCGCCCCTCACACCGATGTCCAAATGGCAGTCTCCCAGAGATGCACTGACCTGCCCCTCCTCCAGTGAGGATTTAACCCAACTAACCAGGACTGGGGGAGTGCATCTGGCTTGTAGCGCTTCACACATTGTAGATGTCCTCGCCTTATCAAAAGCCCCCTCTACATCAAAGAAAACAGCTAGTGCCATTTCCTTGTAGTGCAGTGCCTTTTCGACTCTATGCACTATAGAATGAAGAGCCGTTTCGGTCGACCTTCCATTTCTATAGGCATGTTGATTCTTATGGAATGGGTACCTTTTCAGCACCCCTTCTTGCAGGTACCGGTACACAATCCTTTCTAATGTTTTAAAAAGAAAGGATGTTAGGCTTATTGGCCTGAAGGACTTTGCAGCCGAGTAGTCTTTTTTCCCTGCTTTGGGTATGAAGACCACTTTAGCTGCCCTCCAGGCTCTTCGGACATATCCCAGTGCCAGACTGGCTCGGAATATTCGTTCTATTCTTGGGAGAAGAATCTCCAAGCCTCTCTGTAGCAATGCTGGGAATATTCCATCCGGTCCTGCTGCCTTGTATGGATCGAACGCATTTACTGTCCATTCCACCGATCCCTCCTTCACAACGTCTTTGGCAAGGCCCAAGTCCCAGGTAAGGATCTCTGGCCCCTCCGTTGTTGACGTGAGGGAAGGAGTTTCGCCGGGGAAGTGCGTTTCCAGGAGATGTCTTAGGGACTCTTCACTGTTGTTCGTCCACGATCCATCCAACCTTCTTAGGATTCCTACGTTCCTTTTTGAGTCATAGCTAAGGATCTTCATCAGCCTGGTTGACTCCTGAAGTGACTCTACAGTTCCACAGTATGTCTTCCAGCTGATATCCTTGCTGCGCCTTAACTATTTTTTGTAAGACTTTCTAGCCTCCCTGTACGTATCCCACGTGGATTGCAGCCCATCCTTGATAGCCCGGTTGAATGCGCGCCTTGCCTTCTTTCGAAGGTCTTCAAGCACGTCACTCCACCACGGGACCTTTTGGCCCTTAGCCACCTTGGCCGGGTAAGCAATCTCGTAGGCTATGGCAATCGTACTATTTAAGTGGTTAACTTCCTTCTCTAACTGTTCTTTGGTGGTAATGTCCACAGGAGGTTCCCAAGTTTGACTTTTTAGATTGGTGAGATATTTCTCCCAATCTGTAGCCCTTGGATTCCTCCTTGGGTTAGGAGTGACCTTGTCGACATTTAACTCAAATCTGATCATCCTGTGATCAGACATCTTTATATCGTTGGTCACTCTCCAGTTAGAAACATCTTCATATACTGACCTTGATGCCAACGTAATGTCTATTACTTCCTTCCGGTTGCAAATAACAAACGTTGGTTTTTTGCCTCTGTTTATTACCTCCAGGTCTGTTGATGCCAAACACCCTAGCAGAGATTCTCCCCTGCTATTGATGTTGGTACTGCCCCACACGTAGTGGTGGGCGTTGGAATCACATCCTAGCACGAGGGGTATGCACTTGTCACTCGCGAACTTGATTAAACGAGTTAGCTCCGGAGTAGGGCACGGTCCCTCGTACGGTAAATAGACGCTTCCTAATATAATCCTATTTCTAATGCCTCTCACCTTATATTCCAGCAGAATCGCCGTGACATCCCTGGCCCCCAATTGTGGAAGTGGTAGCACATTGAGTTCCTTGGACGTCAGTATGCATGTTCTGCTGCTCTCCTCCTCAGTGCCGACCATGATGTTTAGGCCAGTGGCACCCATTCCTCTAACCCCTTTCCTGTAAACATACGGTTCCTGTACCAGGACAATCTCGCCCTCCCTCCCTGCCAAGACGCTTGCCAGTTCCCCAGCAGCGTCCTTGCAGTGATGTAGGTTGATTTGGCTTACCCGTATGGTGTCCATGACGGAGTGTATCATGGTACGGCCTCAGCACCTAGTTTTCTTCAGTCTGCTTCGAGGTTCCAGCACCAGATGAGCCCTGGCGCACCACGCTACTCCAAGCCGAGACCCTCTTTACAGAGAGGGTCACCAACTTGAAGTAGAGGGCCCACCCAGACTCCTCCAGGCGCTTCACAACCTCTTGGCTAACCAAGAAGACTAGATGCCATGCTCCTGGTCCCCCTGTGGTCTCCAGATGTTTCCAATTCCCCACGTTAAGGGAGTGGTTCTGGAGATCAAGCATCCTTGTGACCTCTGCCAGGTCCACCTTTTCCTGCCTAAGCCAGAAACCAATCTTCACTGGCCATGGAGCTTCGGCGGCCTTCACCGAAGTGAAAACCACCCCCTCAACAGTCAGAGAAGACCAGCTCTCCAGCAGCCAACGCATCGAGGTGTCGTCCCTAGCCGATACCAAGTACCAGCCCGGGTCGACAAGGCCCGACTTGATGAACTTGAGTTCCAAGCGGGAGGATGCCTTAGTGGAATCCTCCATAGCTCGCCTCATTTCATTGATCAGGCTTGCCCTGATGCCTTCGCTTTCATTTGGCAGTACCGTACCTCCAATCCTGTTCGACAAGATGACCACTTGAAGACTTTTGTCGATTGTTGGTCGACTAGTAGCCTCCTGTCGAGCTTCTACCTTTCCTCTACTTTTCGGTCCCCTCTCCGACGCCTCGACAATGTCTCTCTTTAAGGAAGAGACATACCGCCTAGCATCAGATAAGGGCCTTATCCTCTTTTTATTATGTTCCGGAGGTGTCCCCTTATCCGCCCTCTGCCTTTTGCTGGAGGCTGGACCAGGGGCTCTTGTTTGAGCTGAAATTAAATTTGGGAACAAACAAATTAAAAATATCATAAATAACTTTATAAAATTCATCGCAGGCCAAATTAATATCTTTAAAATTGTGCAAAAAAGTCCAGTCAACATTAAGCAGAGCCATATAAAGTCCGTGAAAATTAGCTTTTTTAAAGTTATCAGAAACCTTTGGAAAACTTGGCACATTTTCTTTAATTAACATAACGATCACAACTAATGCTGGATGGTACATATCTTCGATTAATAAGGGGTGAGACTCTCTACTTACCTCATATTTTGCATTGCCAATAACAAGATCCAATAGTCTATTATTAACGTTTACGATATTATTAAATTGAGACATATCTGAAAATTCTAAAAAGTCCACCATTATCCTCCGACTATTATCATTAACCATAAAGTTAATAAAATGCGGAATGTTAAAGTCACCTAGTATAATTGAATTGTCTTTGAGGATAATGGTTTCATGAAAACGATTTAAAAATGAATCCAGCTCAATATATGAAATTCTAGGATGAATATACAAGACAAAAACATAAGTTTTCTTAAAATTAAAAGTAATACTACCTCCAACTATATCAATACAAGGATGTTGAGATTGTAATACATCTAAATTAATACGCTCAACAGTAAAGTTTGAATTGTAGGCCAACAAAACTCCACCACCTCGAGATACACCAACTGCTTCAAAGTTGCGATCACTTCTAAGAACCATAGTCATCCGGAAATAGTTCTGAGCTAGTTATGTCTTCTGATAGCCAAGTTTCAGTTAAACAGATTAATTCAAACTCTTTTTCACAGGCAGATGCATGCAATGTTCCTACTTTAGATCGACAGCCGCGTACATTTTGGTAGTATATTTTTAACAATGTGTTAGGTTCTTTTTTATTTTCATGTGTACGAGGGGGGAGAGAATTTGATTGCTATTGCAACCCAAAGACATCGTGTTTTAATTTCCCCAGTACATTTTTTTTTAAAGCCTGGCACTTGTCATGATCCCAGGCGGCATGACAAATGTCCACTCCAGTTTTATTTTTTAAATTAAGACAGTTTATGCATTTTAGCGTTACTGATTGACAATCTTTAACAGAATGGTTTTCGGCACATCGGGGACATATAGGATTATCTTTTTTGGAACAAACACTGGAGTCCTGGTTAAAGCCATTACAAGAAAAACAACGAAGTACTGTTATGGCATCATACACTTTACAGCTGTCTAGCCCAATAAGAACAAAACCATGTTTCAGCATTTTTTGATATGATATCGGTTTGCAGTAAAGCTTGATAAATCGTGTCTTTATTTTTTAAAGCTTTTATTTCCACAATCTTAACTGTAGCTTGATCGCAAATTAAATCCTTATTTTGTAAAAATAAATACTGCTTAATCTCCTCATTAAATTTTTCAGAAAGACCGACAATTCTGACTCTAGGTTGGATCTTATTTGCTTCTTTAATTTTGTAATTTTTCAGTTCCTTATCAGCTATTTCCTTAAATTTATTCGCTTCATTAACATCATTACAACCCACTATTAGGCCACCGTTTTTAATATTTTTAACTGAATTAATTTTAATGTTGTTTACCATAGGGTTAATTTTTTTCATAATATCCATTTTTGTAGCAGAGTTAAGCTGAGACTCATCGTTGGGTTTTATAATTATTGATGACTTTTAACTTAATTTTTCTGAATAGGTTTGAACCAAAGGTGATGACGTAGGTTGCAAGGATTTAAGCTTTTCTTCTGCCATTTGTTTAAAATCAATTTTAGCATTATTAAACAGAGAATTTAAATCCTCAAAAAGAGTTTCTATCTTTGATTCTAAGTTAGTGTAAAAACTGTCGTTTACATCATTATAACATTTATCGCATTTCCAAGATAACCCAGGACAAGTTGGTAATAATTTTTGGACTTCAGAAGGGACTCCAACACAAGAACAATAAAAAAGACGTTTGCAGAACCCGTCACAATTAACCGTTGGTTTTCTTGCAGCAGGAGCATTACATTCAGCGCAGATAGACATGTTGATAGCTAAAGAAAAGTTTGTCAGATCGCCGAGTAGCGCAGTGCGAATACGCGCTCTCGCGGACCCAGAGCAAGCTGGTTCAAATCCCAGCAGGGAAAACACTTTTTTAAATTATTCTTCCTTATTTAAAATAATTATTAGTTCAATGTCAAGCAGGTGAAGTTTTTTTGCAAGTTTTTAGGTTCACTTAACCAATTTATATTGTTTAACTATTGTTACAATTCGATAGTAAATACTAATTTCACTACACAACACCAGCACAATATAATCAACATATTATAAACTCAGTGGTAATGGTCAGTACACTTATTCATTATTCATTATTCATTATGATTTGAATATATATTTTTTAAGCACAACACTCGTTACTCCACGGAATAGCATTCCCCTTTTTATTGGTTCAAATGAGTATTATGATAAAATTTGTTATTTTTTTTTCTTTTTTTTATATAAGTTCATAATTTTTTATATATATATATATATATATATATATATATATATATATATATATATTTACTTCCAGCATACAAAGTGAGCCACTTTCGAAGGTAATTTACTATTAAAGTGAGGCCCATGGCAAAGTGAGTACCGTATATGGTCCTCACTTTGTCAAAGCAATAATTTTATGCCTGAACGCTTCTGTGTTGCATAAAATGTTGTTTCAGTAAGACATAAAAAAAGCCTCACTTTACATTTTAGTTTTTTAAACCGCTACTAGGTGGCGCTGCTACCGCAACTTGGTGGCGCTTCTTGATGAGTATATTTTCAAGACGTATATTTTTAGGTGCTTTTAAGCAACTGTCTACGCATTAAGTGAGGACCATAAAATTGACAACTGTAAACGGTCCTCACTAAATGCTAGGAATGGTTTGTTGACTATAATTTTAATTTGTCCTTTGTCTGGTTTGACCTGTGCCAGGGTATTGAATCTTTAAGTAATCTGGCGGAAAACTGCTTTAACCTTTAACCGCTACTAAGTGGTTTGTTAGAGACCACTAGATATGTTTTTCCAAATATTATATTATTATTATAAATATAAAGAAATTGGCTAGACCAAAACATAGGGATTAGGTTATATTAGCTTCCCTTGTAATAGTGTCCACAAATCTAAGTCGATTTTAACCAACTTATACTTAACCGATTGAGCTGAAATTTTGCACATACTTTAGGTGCTGGAGAGTCTCCAGTGGAGACAGTACAATTTAGTATAGGATTACCTTTCTCTTTACAACCCCCTTGATTTGGGTATCAAATGAAAGGTTTTGACGATAAGGCGTTATACTAAATTCAATATGTCATCCGCTCCAAGATGGCGATTTATCTATTATTCACAACTTGATATGGGTATCAAATAAAAGGGCTTGACTAGTAGAAAACAATAAGGTGAGTGACGTCGAATCAAATTTAATATGGAGACCACGGTGGTCTCCATATTAAATTTGATTCGACCACCCCAAGGTGACAAAATAGGTACCTATTTCTTTACAACCTCCTTAAATTAAGTATCAAATGAAAGGGTTTAAGTTAATTCATACTAAATACAATATGGCGGCACCTTGCAATACTGACGAGTTGACCGGAAGATTTTTTTTTATTTTTAAGAATTAATTGAAAGTGAAGACGATGAAGCAGTTTATATATGTCAGTTAGGCAATGCATAATATGCATTCATTAATTTCATAAAAAATGGGTTTGTTATTTAAAGTTTCGTTCTGCCTTTGAGGCAAAATATAATTTCGATATAGCTACAAAAATTTTTTTGGTATAGTCATTGAAGTGATATGTAAGTTTATACAGGGTCTTTAAAAAACATGCGCCAATGCTCGGCTGGAGATTCGTCATCGAAAAATAGGAAAAAAAGTTATATGACCTTAATAAACATAGTTTCGGAAATGTTTAGTTTTTAAAATATCTTAAATATCGTTTTTCCGATTTTGTTGAAATTTGGCAACGTTATTTATACTAACTAAAGTTTTTTTGCTATTTTTAAATTTTTTTTTATAATCAAGCCACTAAAAAACTTTTTGGTCTCCCAAGTTGTTTATTACCTCGTTTTTGACAGAAAAAATAAAACAATATTATTGCATGAAAATTAACAAAACGCATATTTTGCACCTTTTTTAAGCTAAACAAAAAATACTTTCTATTATTTTTTAATTAATCAAGGGGTTTGGAGAAAATTAACAAAACCAATAAATAACGTTGCCCACTTTCAACAAAACCTGGCAAACGATATTTAAGATATTTTAAAAAAGTTTTGAAAAAAATGTGTGTAATGTAAGTATCTTTAAAACTAAGCATTTCTGGCACTACGTTTGTATGAACTTTTTTCTTATTTTTGGATGACAAATCTCCAGCCAAGCATTGGCGTAAGTTTTTTGAAACCTTGTCTATCGGAACAAAATATTTTTAATTAAATTACATTATTTTTAAGTTTTTAGTGCTTAAAAGCGTCTTTTTTTTGTATAAAAGAGCCGGTTTGTGCTTTTTAGTTTTATTTGAACCCTTTATTAATTCTTTATTAAGACAAAATCAAATGTATATATACCGTATGGGCCTATAGGCCTTACAAAAAATCAAAAACAAATGCAACACTAATAAACAAATCAAATGTTAAAAAACTGAATAAAAATATATTGTAGAACTATATTAATGTTCATAATTAATTATTAATTATTATTGAACTAGCTATAGTTGGCTAGCATGAAGATTATCGCGCCGCGACCGCAACTTATCTAATATTATTTAATTATTAAATTTCCGCCCAGTTTAGTGCTAGTTGTAAATTATGAAAATTTTAAAACAAGTGGTGACTCGGGTATCCGGAAACCAAAATATTCTGAAGGCCCGTTCGGTCAAAAATTTTATCGAAATCGGATTTAGACACCTCAATTTACAATAAAACAAGTGGTATCCGTAAACCAATATTTTTTCAAGATCCTTTAGGTTAAACGTTTTTTTTACTCCTATATCTGCTGGGTGCAGGGTGTAAGGTTGGGTAACCAAATTTTTGAGCATTTATTACATTATTTTTTTTTCTATAATGTCTAACTCCTAAGAATATTTTTTCTAAAATATATTAAAAACGAACGGACTGATTTAAAACACCGTACGACTTCAAAGACCTTTAAAATGATGTATTACTCGATACCTATTCAAATTCTTAAGGGCGCAGAGGGTAAGGTGGGAAACCAATTTTTATCATGCAAAATTGTACCCCTCGATATTAAACTTTAAATGTCTCGGCGTTTTTTCAAAAACCTTTCAGTTTAAGAGAAATTTACTTTGGGAAGTTTTAAAATTTATACCCTGTATAATAAATAACAAAATATCTAATAAATATTAATAAGTCTAATCATATGTTAACCCGTAAAGGTGGAGGGGCCTTTAGACCCGCAGTCCGTTCCTACCCCTAACCCGCTCATGCCATTCAGTTGGCTTTTGGGACTTCTTAGGAAGTAAGGGTGGAACTAAAAGAGCACTTTTGTATATTTGTCCAAGGATGTAATTTCTTTGTGGTATTGTCAACTGTTACACAGTTTTACAAAAGTACGATGGACCTCATAAAATGGGTAGCATAAAACATTATAAACGGTCCTCACTTGAATAGACAGATATACGGTCCTCACTTTGTTCTGATATACTCGAAAATATTTAAATGAACATTTTACGTGTATATTCTGTACCCACCTGTTACTAATTTAATATTAAGCGTAACTTAATATTAATTGTGTTTCTATTTTGACTCCTTCTATCGGTCCTCATAATATACGTGCTAAGACAAGTCCTCACTTTGTATGCTGGCCAAATACATATATATATATATATATATATATATATATATATATGTATATACCAAAACATTCAATGTCTAACATTCTATAGAAACATATTATTTGTTGTAAACGGGCAGAAGGACCTAGGTCGATAGCCCTTTGGTTAACCCAATAAAGACTTTTTTTTTATTTCGTTGGCGAGAGAATAAATTTACAATAACTACAATAATATAATATAAAGCTACAATAATATATTAAAGCTAAAAACTAAGGCTGAAGACAAGTACTTCTTTTATTTATTAATTACATTTAATTTATGAAAGAATCCAACAGGACTTATTTTTATATAATAATATTATGTATGTATTTTTAAAATTCTAACCTCAATGCCGGCGATCTGTCAAATTAATTCTAAAGCTGGTTTCACATTTGAAACGTATGTTTGTTAGCGCCACCAGTTGTAAATTTATTCTCTCGCCAACAAAGTATTTTAACCCGAGAAATTTTTTTTTTATTTTTTACTCTCGCGCGTAGTTGTAAATTTACTCTCTCGCCAACGAAATATTTTTACGCGAGAAATTTTTTTTAATTTTTAAACAAGAAATAATTTTAACTGCGCGAAAAAAAAATTTCTTGTTAAAAAAAAAAAAAAAATTTCTCGCGTAAAAATATTTCGTTGGCGAGAGAATAAATTTACAACTACGCGCGAGAGTAAATTTTAAGTTCCTGAGTTGGACGCTGGTGGCGCTAATAAACATACGTTTCAAATGTGAAACCAGCTTTAGAATTAATTTGACAGCTCGCCGGCATTGAGGTTAGAATTTTAAAAGCGGCAAAGTAGATAGGCGAAAGAAAGACAGGAATATATCACGCTGTTAAAAGTATTCCAGGGACTAGGATTAAATCACTGATTTTGAATAGCTCTCAACTCACTTGCGATCGAAACCTATTTCGATCTGCGAAGTATTACTCTCCAGGTGAGTTAGATTCAATCCCAAAAGTATCAAAACACTTCTACTCTTTTAAAGATTAAATACCTAAAAGATTTATATTCTAAATGATAACCATAGGTTAGCTACTTTTGAGATTTAATCATTTCAGAGTATTTATATTATTGCTCATTTAAGATTTAATCCTTTTCGGAACCCAGTGATTAAATCAGAGTAAAATTATCAGATATAATTAATTAAATACTGGTAATTTATTAATACTGGTTATTTAATAGGGCTAAAAATTTATATTTATTAAAAATATATAAATTTTTAGTCCTAATAAATTAATAAATTGTAAAATTATATTAAATTAATTTTATAATTTTATAAAAATACCTTAATATTATTGTTAATTTTTAAAATTATTTTATTGATATATGGTATATATTTATTTAGCAAATTTTATTAAAAAGTGGTATTTATAATAACATTAATAATGTTACATTATACATTACATTTCTCTATGATTAAACTATATTAATATTATGGTAATAATCATTACAAAAATAACATAAGTAGATGGGTATCATTAAAATGATTTAATAATATCAATTTAAAAAAAAAATAATTGCCACCCTATTTATTAATGTTATTATTGCAAATAAACCTAGCAAGATGGGTATCTATAAAAAGGTCTTAATAATTACAATTTAAAAAATTATATCAATTACCCCCTTCTTCCCCGATAATGTATTAAACTTTTTTTCTGAAGAATTAACGGTGCAAGATGGGTATCTATGAAAAGGTGTTAAAAATTACAATCTAAAAAAATATATTAATTAGCCCCCTTCTGTCCCCTAATTTATTACATTTTTATATTGCAAAGTTAACATAGCATGATGGGGTCTTAATAATTACAATTTAAAAAAATATATTAATTACCCCCCCTTCCCCCTTATTTATTAAACTTTTATTCTAATAAATTAACGTGGCAAGATGGGTATCTATGAAATGGTGTTAAAAATTACAATTAAAAAATTTATAATAACTCCCCCCCTAATTTATTAGATTTTTATATTCCAGTGTTAACATGGCATGATGGGTATGTATAAAAAGGTCTTAAAAATTACAATTTAAAAAATTATATTAACTACCCCCCTTCTGCCCCCTAATAATATATAATATAGCGCCCCCTTTAACAGCATATTTTTATTAATTAAAAAAAAATCCCTAAAAGTTATTTTTCGAAAGTTTTTTTATTATTAAAAATATTTTCTCGAAAAACCCTCGAACACGTAAACTGAGATATAAGTTGAAGAATGTTTATACAAAATACATACAATATTGGTAAAGGCGTTTTAGAGTTAGAATTTTTTTACTTATTATGCGTTAATTTTACCGCGCAGTGTAGATCATATTTAAATTAAAAAAATTAATAAATATTATATTTAAATAATTACAATCTATTTTGAACTGCATTAATTATTTTCACTCGATAATGTGTCGCAAAAAGGTGATGCATCTCCATAGTCGTCATCATCGTCACTGCTCTCGTCATTATAATTATTATCATCAGCATCATTATCATCATCATCTTTCTTTGATGTGCTAGGAAGATATTTTTTTGTTGAACTCGGACTACCATCATCATACAAGACTGTCTCATTCACATCTACTGCAGTATCCGGTAATAACGTCGCAGAACTAGATGCACTAGGTAGATCTGTCGTTGATAAATTGGAAGCCTCACCACTACGTAACACTGTCTTACTCACATCCACTGGAGTATCCGGTAATAACGGCGTAGAACTAGATTTACTAGGAATATTTGTTGATAAAATAAAATTATTGTCAGATATATTACGATACTTAGCCATTAAGGCTGTAAAAGAACTATAACATTGTCTGTGGTATCCATCAGAAGTATTAATTTGCTCCGGTAACTTTATGTTATTATATTTTAAGTTAAATTTAACACGTACACTCAAAACTTAAATTTTTTTAATTTTTCTTCCACAAAATTTATTATTTTACCATTATTTTCATTACAAAAGACACATTTAATTTTGCAAGCCATTATTATATGGAAATTTCACGGTAAACATTAAAAAACTACAACAAACGTAAAGATATGACTTGAAACTGATGCCGTCTTGAGTACATGCGCCGCTAACATGGGCCGCAGGAATTGACTCACACAGCCACCTAAACTAAACTCTTCTACATACATATTATTTTTACAGCAATAAATCGGTCTGGTAAGTAAACATTTGAAATATTGTCTGACAAATTAATTTTTTACTTATTTATATATAAATAAAATAATATTAAAATTACAGCCATACTAAAATGGTTTGAAATTAATTTTTTTTTGTTTATAAAAATAGCATCTGGTACTTTATTGTTAATAACAAAAATGTCTGGGAATAAGAAATTCATGTTTCTAATAGTGTTTAAAAGTTAGTGAAAAAGAAAAAAAAAATCATACAATTATTTAAAATTCTTGTTTTTCCGTGACTAACTCTCTTACTAATTGTTTATAAATTATAATTGAAAAAGGATGTAAGAACACCAAAGTGAACTGCTTAGAAGGAAAGGTGAACTTATTGCTTTTGTGTCTACAGGTATATTTGCGGTATACAGTATAGGTACATTTTTTTGTTTTGTCATATTTTAAAAGTATTTTATATATATGAGGCATTCCATCTCAACTCGGCCACCCCCTCCTGTGCAAAATTGAGTAAAGTTTTTCGAAACGTGCAACTGATAAATTTTTAGCTTATCGTCTTAACTTTCAAATGCCGAGTGGTATTTTGTAAAATTTCAAAATGGCGGTGTCAATATAGTGACTGCAAGCAATATACATCACTTTAAAAAAACCGTAATACGTAGTTTACATTAACTAACAGCGTTATAAAATTAAAAATTGAATTTGATTATATGCACTAATCTATTATCAGTGATTCTATGTTTTTTTACCGCTGATTACTCAATGGTTCGCCCCTAACCCAAAAAAATAACTTAAAAATCATTTTTGTGAAATTTACAGCCCCTAAATGCATTTTTGATACATATTTTTGCATTTGTTTTTTGTATTTCTCATTGCCTAATATAAATATGGCCTTACCTCAGAGTTGACATAAAACTGTATGTTCCTAACCTAAAATAACTCTCAAAAAATGTATTTTTACCTTCTTTATAGCTGTTTAAAGCATTTTAAAGATTGGCATGAGGTTAAATTTTTATACTTTTTATCGCCAAGTACGTAAATAATCCAACTATAATTTGCAGACTAAGCAGTTTACCCCTAACCTTAAAAATATTTTCTAAAAATTAATTTTCTGCAGATACACATCCTGAAGAAAATTGAAATATGGGATGTACAGATTTATTTACAAACTTTTTATCGCTAAATACGATTATAATCTTTCTTTGACGGCAATTCTTCGTTAACCTATAAAACTTTGCATAAATCGTAAATATTTTTTATATAGTAGTTATTACATAAGAATATGCTAAAATTGTAATAATCTTCATCTACCGATAATTAAATTCGTACCAAAAATAATATTCTTTTGTGGTATTACCAAATAAAAATGTACTCTTAAAAAAGTATTCGAATGCTCCAAATGGCTCCATTAGAATTTTATATAGATAATTACAAATTCAGCATATTGTTATGTAATAACTACTATATACCTATAGTAAATATTTTTAACATATCATTTAAACCTCATTTTTATTGCATAGGTAGGATGCAAAGTTTTTTTAGGTTAACAAAGAACTGCCATAAACATTTTTAGCGATAAAAGTGTGGAAATAAATCTATAAATCCCATATTTCAATTTTCTTTAGCGTCTGTATACTGCAGAAAACTAATTTGTAGAGAATATTTTTAAGGTTAGGGGTAAACTGCTTTGTGTGCAGTAAATAGTTGGATTATTTACGTACTTGGCAATAAAAAGTATAAAAATTTAACCTTATGCCAATCTTTAAAATGCTTTAAACAGCTGAAAAGAAGGTAAAAATACATTTTTTGAGAGTTCTTTTAGGTTAGGAACGTACAGTTTTATGTTGACTCTGAGGTAAGGCCATATTTATATTAGGCAATAAGAAATACAAAAAAGAAATGCTAAACCACCCATCAAAAATGCATTAAGCGGCAGTAAATTACGAGAAACTGCTTTTTAAGTTTTTTTTGAGGTTAGGGGCGAACCATTGTGTAATCAGCGGTAAAAAATACATAGAATCACTGATAATAGATCAGTGCATTAAATAAAATTCAATTTTTAATTGTATAAAGTTGTTAGTTAATGTAAACTACGTATTACGGATTTTTTAAAGTGATGTCTATTGCTTGCAGTCGCTATATTGACACCGCCATTTTGAAATTTTACAAAATACCACTCGGCATTTAAAAGTTAAGACGATAAGCTAAAAATTCATCACTTGCACATTTCGAAAAACTTTAGTCAATTTTGCACAGGAGGGGGTGGCCGAGTTGACATGGAATGCCTCATATATATTTTATATATATATATATATATATATATATATAAAATATATATATATATATATATATATATACGTATATATATATAGAGCTAGCAACGTCGGAAAAACAAGAATTTTAAGAAAGCTGAATTTTAAATAATTTTATGATTTTTTTTTCTTTTTCACTAACTTTTAAACACTATTAGAAACATGAATTTCTTGCCTAATGGTTGTTGAGTCTAGAAGTACAAAGAGGAGCAGTGACGGAATTGGGGAACGAGGTCGAGAAAACGGGACATTCTTGTTTGAGATACAGAACGCTACGCACATTTAATTTTGTAAGCCTGATTTAAAATTTATGATACAGGAAAGGTGGCTACGATTTTGGCAGGTTTGGCTAAAAATTCTGGCAACGTATCTGGGGCAAAGCCAGCGGCGGAGAGATACGGGAATAGTCAAACGAAGTATCGGTAGTCACCTGGGTAAGGAAATTAAAAGGTGTTTTAAATGCGGTAAAACCAATCACTATAAACGTAACTGTCCACAACGTCCCAAAATAAGAGGCGATTGAATATAATGTAAATTATATAGGTCCTAATGGCAATGAAAAGTTTTATAAGGAAATACTTTTGAACGGCAATAAAATCAAGTGTTATTTTAACCTTGGAAGTGAGTGTTCACTAATAGCCAAAAACGCGGCTGAAATGTTTTCGTTAGATTAATGGCCTCTAAAAACGAAGGTTGTTTTATCAGCACTTGCGGCCGACTTGAGTCCCGAACTATATACGCGTTCAAATTTCTCTGTTGATAATATCGAGCGAATACTTAAGTTTTACGTCATCAATAATCAAAAAGCAGGTGTAGATGTCCTCATAGGGCAAAATTTTGCCGAATTACCTGACATACAATACTGCAAAAAGGGGTACGAATTGAAATTTGCGGAATATAAACAAATTTTGTCGGTCGAACGTAAACGAAAGATAGAAACAAAAGAGATAAATGTAGGTGTAAAAGATCCAGAAATTATAAATAAGTTACTAAACATTTTAAATGAATATTCAGACTGTATTAACCTCAGACGCCATTAACCGAAATGAAAATTACTTTAACTGATAGTAAACCAATTGCGTCGCGCCCGAGGCAATTTTCAGGAACGAATTGTTATACGGGGGATGGTCGACGAATTGTTGGGAAATGGTATTGTGCGTGAATCTAATTCTCCATACGCTAGTAGAGTTTTGTTGGTTACAAAGAAAAACGGAAAAAAACGTCTTTGCATTGATTATAGGCCTCTTAATAAAATTACAATTCCGGAGCATTATCCTTTACCAATTATAGAACAACTTTTGGGGCGATTATCTGGCTCTATTCGGGTTATCATCACATAAGGGTTGCACCTGAATCTATACCACTTACTTCATTTGTCACTCAAGATGGCCAGTACGAGTATTTAAGAGTTCCATTTGGGCTGATGAACGCGCCAGCCGTTTTTCAGCGAATTTTAAACGCAGCATTGGGCCAATTGCGGTTTTCGAAAGAATTAATTTATTTAGACGATATATTGATCCCCGCCAAAACACCTCAAGAAGCTTTGCAAAATTTAAAAAAAGTTTTAGAAGTTTTTCGCACTCATGGGTTAACTTTAAATTTAGAAAAATGCTATTTTCTTAAAACAAAAATTGAGTATTTAGGTTACGAAATATGTGAATCTACCATACAACCCTCTAAAACTAAAATAACAGCTGTGGCAGGGTACGCACGACCAACAAGTGTACATGAAGTACGACAGTACTTAGGTCTCACCGGGTATTTTCGCAAGTTCATTAAAAATTATGCATGTAATGCAAAACCTCTAAGCGAATTACTATTGAAAGATGCAACATGGGAATGGGAAAATTCCCAGGAATCTGCCTTTCAAAGTTTAAAATAAAGATTAACAGATGCACCGGTTTGGAAATTAAATTATACATTGATGCTAGTCGGTGTGGTCTCGCAGGAATATTGGTGCAGGTTCATAACAAAGGAGAAAGATTTTTATCTTACTTTAGTCGCCAAATAACAAGAGATGAACAAAAATTTCACTCATACGAATTAGAAGCACTTGCGATAGTATCCTCGATAAAGAGATTTCGGCAATATTTGTTGGGCAGGTTGTTTACTATTGTCACAGATTGTGCGGCAGTAAGACACGCTTTTTCAAAAAGTGAATTAAATGCTAGAATTGGCAGATGGGTGTTGGCTTTGTGCGAGTATCAATATACTGTTGTTCATAGACCCGGAATACAGATGCAGCATGTGGATGCACTTAGTCGCAACCCTTTACAAAAACAAGTTTTAGTAACTGTAATCAATGAAGATACGTGGTTGTTGGCTGTTATTTTAG